GACTGGCACTCACACGCGTAGTGAAACAACCCCAAACACCACACATTCTCCATTAAAATTAGACGCATGCAAATAGCCGAGCATTAGATAGAACTGAATCGCAACAACATCAGCACATCGCTTCCGGAGGCATCTTGTCGGCATCAGCGGTGCGCTTTGATGCTGTGTGAATTGACGACTGAGTCGTCGCTAAACGTCAGTGCAAGGCTTCGTTTAGGTGTCCATCTGATGTTTGATGGTTACTTGGGAATGGATTTGGTCTGGTCCGCGTGCACGGGTCCAACCGTGGCCCTATCCTCGCTCATTTCGCGAATTGCATCCAAAGTAATGCCCTCCTCCACTTGGTGCGAAGTCTGCGAGTGTAACGATCAACGGTGTCACATGTTTCTTTGTTTCTTAGCAATGATGTGCAAGGGTGTGGCTGATGTTGCTGCTGACATGGACGAGGCAAGGTTGTCTGCTGAACCCCGCAATGTTGGTTTGCTTAGAGTGTATTGCACGTGAAGTTACACAGCTTTCGTAAATTAGGCTGAGTTATCAGCGTGCTGTCCCGTGACATCTCACTGGACTGAAGGAGGAGGAGGAGGTGGAGGAGGAGGAGGAGGAGAAGGAGAGGAGAGAGGGAGAAGGATAAGATGTTGGTTCGCTCACTCAACCAAAAGCAAAAAGTGAACACCGTAATCCCCAGTCTTATTGACATTCGAACAAATATCACATTGCAATACGCTCTGTCACTCAGAATATTCGAAGAAGGAAACGTAAATGCATGCAGGCTGATTTGCTGCCCAACAAATTTCTCTGTTATGAGGCACTGTAACTGCACTAACCACGTAGATTGATGGTCACACTTGATTAATGTGATTTGAAAGCCCCTTTCGCCTCGTGCCTTTTGTTCACGACAGACATTGCCCACATTTGCTGGCAGATACTGATCAACGTTTCATCAGCTTTCCAGCTTAAAGTAGCGCGCATCACCCACTTCCATTTGTCAGTCCGTGATAGTGCATTTTTGAGCAATCATCCTTCCTTACTGCAAACCCGAATCTTGACAAATCACTTGGTCTCCATTCCGTATTTCAGCACCCACCTTTCGACGCAGGAATCTTAAATTTACACGACTTACAATGCTCACAGTTGAAGAAGCCGCATTGTCTCCTCAAGTGTTCGTTGCGGTCATGTGGGTGTGCGCAGTTAGGATGCTCTGAAGGAAACAATTCAAAGTTGGTAGCATTTGTTATAGCCAAATTAAATGTGAGTATTTCTCTGCAGGAAAGTGTTGTTAGTATTTAATCGTGTAATGAGCACATTTCCTTTCAAGCAGCAGCATAATCGACACTTGTGTTTCCACACGAAGCCGATGCCATCTCAATTCCACGTGACCAATTACAGTCGCCACTGAAATGCATTTTGGTAGGTTCCACGGCAAATGCTTTCGAGTTACCGAAGAAACGATGTCTTGTAAAAAGGGAAGGGAGGCTGTCAATCTGAGAAGCGATCAAACCTTTGCACTGTTCAGATAATTGGAAAAATGAATTGTTATGATCGCTTTGGCGGCCATTCTGCTTTTGTGTCGTGGAATGGCTTTAGGGTCAGGCCTCGGCTTTGCTTCTACCGTATTCGTCTGAATGTGAGAATTCAGTCATGCTCAAAGTCTTCTATCACCGAATCGGAAGGTTTTGGTCGTTGCAGTCACAGGGTTGCTTTTTAGTCACGCCACTAAATGATAGGATGGTTCTCCTCTTTCACTCCTATTGAACATGCCTTAAAGCAGATTCATTGTGAGATGAAGTCGGATTCTAAACTTCCCATTTCTACCACATAAGACGTTGAAATGGAGGCTAAACGGCGATCATTTAAGCGGTTCCTCAATATTCGATGCGACAACCTCTTTGATGGCGGCAGCAACGAACGCCACCGCAGTGGCGCAACTCGTCATGATCACCTCTCTAAGCAGACACACTGCAAAGCATACAACGGGTTCCATGTTTTCGTCAGTTTTATAGCATAAATCGTTGGTCAGATAAATCCCTCTTCCTCTTCCTTTTCCACATTAAAGAGCGATGTGATTGAACGCTTGACTTTGAAGACAACTTAATCATTACAAACACTTCTTTAGGTAATTCGCCTCAAATGTCATTCATATTAAGAGTTTAAAGTGATCTTGTAGCTAAGAAGTGGAAATTCAAGTCAAACTCTGGACTTGAGGAGGGTGAGGACAACAGCCAAGGGCCGTCGCAGACATCCGCCTACTTATGTTTGTCTCCCCTCTTAGTCTGCACCCTTTTAATACGTTTAATGAAACCGCACAGAACAAGACACCCATCGTGAAAGTAGAATGAGTTAAGAAAACGGGAGAAGGAAATCACAACACTAGTCTCCATTCCTTCAACTTGGACACCATATAAACTTTAATAACTAAGTTAGGCTAGTACAAATATTCAATGCTTGTTTATTAACAGAAGAGCAAGACTGTCGACTTGTTTAGACCCTTATGGTTTGCCCAAAGCAGGCAAACGGTGGTTGCATATATCAGTAGAAAACAACTGACTCAAATTTGTCTCTTTAAAAATGGTAGACATCAAGTTGGTTTGCGTAAATGCATTTTAGGAAAGAAAGAAGGAATTGGGCTTTGGCTTTGCCCCGAGGTCAACAACAAGACGAATACCAAAGGTCATCGTAAGGCATACGGGCGATCACATAAACAAAGTACTACACCTCAACACCGCGTTTAAGTACTGTTAGGTAAGTCTTTACTGCTGCGACACCTCCAACGATTGCTTAAGGGAAAATAATAGCCATTGGCAATAACCAATCATCAACCAGGAAACATTGACCAATCAACATGCAGGGATTTTTTAGAGCATGAGCAGTGTGCTGCGCCACAATTTAAATGCAGACAACCATGCATGTGGCTATCGTACGTCAATTTCATTGTGCCAAGCTCTGTTTTCGTAAGCGTTGAGAAAAAGTCGGTAAATGAAAAGCGTATTGCCTGCTATTGGATCAGTGTCGGATTTGGGTGAAACATGAGAGACCAAGGCGTAGCATACATATTATTTTAGAGCATTTCACTGATTCAGACGCTATTTTTAAGGTGCATTTAATTTTTAGCACTAATGCTAGCGCTAATGCCAAGTGGAGTGGGTAAATGCTTCAGGTAGACGGCGATCTCGGTGATTTCGATAGGTAAATACGGATAGTAACCACAAAGCAGACTTGTCAATGTGGCCAGCATGGCTGCAATGATGTCGCTGAGGACGATGTCGAAGGAGATGGCAGCGAAGTTCAAGGGTCCGTTGAGTATGCAGGAGGTGGATGAACCCATGGCGTCTTTCATTGAGTAAGTCCGATTGCGAACGAGATTATTTTATTTCTTTAGTCATTACTTTCATAAATGGAGCATCATTTATTGCTCACATTTGCTGCAACTACTACATGCGTATGATTGCATTTGATTTCTTTTCCTATGATAAGGCATGCAGAGGCGGGGATCATGAAAATACCGGATTTGCTAACTTCGTCTACGGCATTTCAAAAGTTGGTCTTTGGAAATCCACTTCCACCCTAGCTGAACAATTTAAAAGGTGACTCTCGCCACATTCTCATCAACTCGGTAGGATTTCGTAAAGTTACCTTTTGTGGTACAAATTGGACAGTGAAATGTCAAAAATTTTCTCCCCTATTTAGCGTTGGCCCGGCTATGTTAACACGGACATGACAAGGCACAAGGGTTGCAGGACCATATTAGAAGGTGCGTGCTGCCAGTAGTTTCGCTTGTCATCTTTACCACCGATCTCCTTTTTGCGTTGTCATACTACTGAATTGAGCCAAAGGAAATTTTATTTCACCTGTAACACTTCTAGTCGCCTGCTTTGTTCTGTTCTGATATAACCACTGAATGTCATGAATGCCAAGAAATCGCAGCAGGTTCTTTTAGCCTGTAGGATCGGAGTGAAGCGGAGCATTTAAGTGGCCTTTTGGTTAGCATTAAGTGGCGACCACATGTAGATGTGCTCTATCAGCGACATCGCAGCCGTTTCGCCGGTTAAGTGTCGACACGGTGGTGTGTCTCGCTACGCTGCAAAAGGGTGCGGTTGAGCCGAACGGTCAGCTTGTCAGTGAACTCGAATTTGTGCATGTAAGCAAGGGGTGTCCGCGCTGAACCGCTTCGATTCAACAATTGTGCCAAATTTGAGATACTCCAGTTCCTCTCCTCATTTGATTAAAATAGGATTGCTAGCCATGGTGGGTCTAAAGGAGTCAAAAGTCTGCATTCACAATCACTGGAGTCAGCATGTTTTCTAAAATTGAGGCTATTTAGTCAGTTTTAATAAAGTAGCACTTTTTAGTAGAAACATGAAAAGTCGCAATACGGAAAATAAATCAAAACAAAAGGTGACTTATAAATGACACAATGAGTTCATCCACTTCCTACAGATTCAATGGGCCCTTCAACTTTGCCGCCGTCACCTACTACATTGCATGCAGAGACCTAACAGCCATAATACCAACAGTGTTCACGAGTCTGTAAAAAGATAGTTTCGAAGCTACATCTTTTGGTAAACCTCGAAACCTTCAACATCTGTGGAAAGAGCTCCACGCACAATTGTGCGAGCCAACATCTCCTCCTTCTACCTGAATACAGCCATTCAATCCTACGTGATGCCTCCTCCTCCTCCTCCTCCTCCTCCTCCTCCTCCTCCTCCTCCTCCTC